AGAAAGTTGATTAGTATTACTATCATCATTAGGCAATAAGTGACAATGTGGTCTGTCAGTGAATATCAGCATTGCTCAAGGACTGAATATACACCAGCTGCCATGTTCATACTCTTCTCTTGTCAGGTCTGTGAGCTCTACCCTGACAAATACCATGTAGTGATATTTCTTAAATGAGGGACCATCAACTTTCAATGATGCCAAGAAGCTTCTTCACCCTTTTATTTTCAGACATAAAGTGTCCAGACTTCAAGACTGAAGTGAAAGCTTAGTAGCACCAAGATCTAAGTCTGTCTCAGTATTGGTAGGAAATAAAGTCTAAGAAAGTCTTAAGCTTGACACAGCAGGACATGAATCTGTTGAAGTAAGTCCAGAAGAGGCCACCAAGTTGATCAGAGGGATGGAGCATCTCTCCTATGAGGAAAGGCTGAGAGAATTAAGATTGTTCAGCCTGAAGAAGAGAAGGCTTTGGGGTGACCCAATTGTAGCCTTTCACTTCCTGAAGGGAGCCTACAAGAAAGATGGAAAGGGAAGGACACGTAGTGACAGGACGAGGAGGAATGGCTTTAAATAGAAAGAGAGCAGGTTTAGTTTAGATATTAGGAACACATTCTTGACTGTGAGGGTTGTAAGGCACTGACACAGGTTGCCCAGAGAAGTTGTGGCTGCCCCATCCTTGGCAGTGCTCAAGGTCAGGTTGGATGGGGCTTGGAGCAACGGCATCTAGTAGGAGGTGTCCCCATTCATGGCAGGGGAGCTAGAACTAGATGGTCTTTAAGGTCCCTCTCAATCCTAACCATTCTATGATTCTATGTTTCTTTCAGTTACTGGAATTTGTTGATTAATGCTAAGTGTATCTACATTTGGTCTGGACAAAGAGGTAGAGGACTGCTAAGTTATTTCCCGTGTCTCTACTGTTGTGTCTTAAAATAATCTTAAAATAAGTGGCTGATATGTGATCTTGGGATCTCTTCCCATTGTAGGGAGTTGGGAAGGTTGTAGATACAGTGCTAAAAGTTTGGTGACAAAACCTTCCTTCTAAGAGGAAGAAACATAATTCCTTTAAAAGT